CAGTACCGACTCAATGGCACCTAACAACAACATATAAAACATACTAGGAGTCCTGGTATACATTGGACGGAAAGGTTGCTTTGACCCTCAAGGTCAGTGGTGCAAACCCACCAGCTGCTCCTCAGAAACCCTATACAAGCTCGCTGTGAGTCAGGACAGGCTCAAGTGCAGTTAACAACAACATGCAAAACCAACAGCCAACACCACTCTCAGTAGGAAGTAACTGAATCCTTGCTCTTGTAAAGAGGAGCCAGACAAGGACATCCTTTATCATCACTCCTATTCAACACTGTGCTGGAAGATTATAAGACAGAGCTATAAGACAAGAAAAGGAAAATAAAGGCATCAAAACTGGCAAAGAAGAAGTCAGACTCTCTCTATTTGCTGATGATATGAGTCCACCTTAGAAAATTCTAAAGACTCAGCAAGAAATTATTGGAAATCATTGAAAGATTCATCAAAGTAGCAGGGTACAAGATGAACATACAAAATTCAGTTGGATTCCTCTATCCTAATAAAGACAGCTCTGAAAAGAAAATCAGAAAAGCAATATTATTTGAAATACCCACCCATAATATGAAATACTTAGTAGTAAATCTAACCATAGAAACAAAAGATCTCTACAAAGAAACCTACAAACTTTTTTATGAAGATGGCACTGAAAGCAAAGGAAGTTCCTGCTCCTCCAAAAGCTGAAGACAAAGCAAAGGCATTGAAGGTCAAGGAGGCAGAACAGAAAGGTGTCCACAACCACACAAAAAAGAAGATCCACATGTCCCCCACCTTCCAGCAGGCCAAGACACTGAAGCTCCGAAGGCAGCCCAAATATCCTTGGAAGAACGCTCCCAGAAGAAACAAGTTTGACCTTTATGACATCATCCAGTTCCCTCTGACTGCTGAGTCAGTCATGAAGAAGATTGAAGATATTAACACACTAGTGTTCATTGTGGAGGTCAAGGCCAGCAAGCACCAGGTCAAACAGACTGTGAAGAAGCTCTATGACCCTGACATAGCCAAGGTCAACCCCTTGATCAGGCCTGATGCAGAAAAGAAGGCACATGTTCGACTGACTCCTGACTAGGATGCTTTGGACATTGCCAACAAAATTGGGATCATCTAAACTGAGTCCAGCTGGCTAATTCTAAATATAAATTTTTTCAATACAAAAAAAGAAAACTATAAAACATTAGTACAAGAAACCAAAAAAGACCTGGAGAAATGGAGGAATCTACCCTGCTTGTGGATAGGAAGACTTAACCTTGTGAAAATGTCAACACTACCCAAAGCAATCTATAGATATAATGCAATCCCAATCCAGATTCCAGCATCATTCTTTAAAATAAATGAAAAAAAAAAAACTAATCTCCAACTTCATATGGAAAATTAAGAAATCCCAAATAAGCAAAACATTACTAAACAATCTCAAAACCTACTATACTGCTACAGTAATCAAAACAGCTTGGTCCAAGTACAACAAAAGACAGCTAGAACAATGGAACAGAATTGAGAACCCAGAAGTAAATCCATTCACCTATATTCAGCTGATCTTTAACAAAAGACCAAAATGCTTTAAATGGGGTAAGAGACAGTCTCTTCAACAAATGGTGCTGACAAAACTGGAAATCCATTTGCATAAGAATGAAACATGACCCATATCTCACACCATATACAAAAATGAACTCAGCATGGATTAAACACCTAAATGGAAAACAGTCATCAATGAAAAACTAGGGACAAACTTAGGTGCTCTGATTCATGGACTAAATGCACTGTCGAGCAAAACTGAAAGCATACAGACAGCAAAGGGGAAAAGATGACCAGGACCTCCTGAAAGTGAGACACCAAGAGAGTAAAAAGAGAACCCACAAACTGGGAAAAAATTGGGCAGTGATATGTCAGACCAGGGACTTTTGTTTAAAATTTATAGGACACTTCAGCACCTCAATAGGTAGAAGACAAATAATCCAATTTTAAAATGGGCAGAAGACATGAACAGATATTTCACCAAAGAAGACATTCAGGCGACCAACAAACACATGAAGAAATGCTCACAATCACTCGCCGTTAGAGAGATGAATATCAAAACAGCAATGAGAGATCATCTCACCCAGTGTTAATAGCAAAGGTCAAAAAAACAGAAAACAACTAATGCTGGGGGTGGGGGGCGGTGTGTGGAGAGTATGGGACCCTCCTACCTTGATGGTGGGACTGTAAAATGTTGCATCTGTTGTGTAACACAGTGTGACACTTTCTCAGAAGGTTGGAAATAGAAATACCATATAACCCAGCAATCTTTTTACTTGGCATATATCCTCAAGAAATCAGAGCCCTAACCCTAATAAATACAAGCACACCCACGTTCAGAGCAGCTTTATTCACAATAGTAAAAAGATGGAGACAGCCTGGAGACTTACTGGCACAGGAATGGTTGATCAGATGTTGGTTCATACACACAATGAAATATTATGCAACACTGAAGAAGAAGAATGAATCTGTGAAATATCGTATAATCTGGAGAAACCTGGAGGGCAGTATACTGAGTTAGATTAGTCTATCGCAAAGCAAAAGAAATTGTATAAGACCACTATTATAAAAAGTCAAGAAAAGGGTTTCTTTCTATAATAAACTTTCTATGATGGTTACCAGAGGTGCAAGGTAAGAGAAAATTAGTCACTGGGTAAGATTGGGTGATGGGTGGTGCTGGTGGTGGTCATGTGCCGTGGAGATGGTTCCGACCCATAGCAACCCTGTACAGGGTTTACGGGGCTGTAAATCTTTACGGGAGCAGAAGGCCTCATCTTTCTCCCACGGAGCAGCTGGTAGTTTTGAACCGCTGACCTTGTGGTTTGCAGCCTGATGTGTAACCACTACGCTACCAGAGCTCCTTTGGGTGATGGGTAAGGTAGTTTTTTAAAAAAGAACAAAAGGGGGAAGGCAGTTTAAAAAGAGGGGAAAGGAAATTTCATTTTGACTTTTTTTTTTCATGTACTGGAAGGGAAATAGTGTCTATTTTTTCATTAAAAAGAGCTCAGACATTATTTTCACTTGAAACATGGTGATCAGGTTACTAAGGCAGAATCTTCTGTGTTATTATGACAAGTTTAATACAGGACAGTCTGATCCCTTAGTCCATCTTCATAATTTTATTTTCTCTAATAACATGGCCTCTATAATGGTGAATTATGATATTCAGAAATATTTTTGAAAACTGCCTTGCATAATAAAGGTTTAAAAAACTATCTTCAGGGGTCACTCTGAATGTTCATCATTTTAATGTGGGGAGTTGAGGGGGCTGATTCCCCCAACTTCCCTACCTCAGTCCTGAACCAATCCTGAGGCCAGGCCTCGAGCTTTCACTGTTGCTATTATGAACAGCATCACTATCACTCTCTGATCACTGACCAGTCTGCAGACTGTAAGCTTCATTAGGATTTGCATTAGGAATGGCCCCAATCCGCAGGCTGGTGAGAATACCCTCAAAAGGGACGTCACAAACATTGTGACATCAGAATGTCAGAAATGAACATTTGAAAATGAAATGCAAAAGATGGCACTAGTTTCCCTTCCTAAACTCCTCCTTTCCCCAGATGCAGAAATCGCTGCTGCTCACTTAGTCTCTTCAGCTTGTGTACCAGCACTTCTACCATCTGGGATCAGGAGAAGGACCGGCTCGTGGTAGGATGTGCACATCCTCTTAAAAAACAAAAACTATGCTTGGCTTGAGGGTCTCAGGGAAAGACCTTTAATGGCCCCCTTTCAAACCCTAAGCTATTTTTCTAAATTAGTGCAGAAAAAAAAGAAAAAAATGAGAAGGACCACTGTGTTAGGCTGCACAGTCCTACTGCAACACTGAGGATCAAGGTGGGGGTTCCAGATCATGGCACACAGCCCTGGCCAATGGGAGCAGGAGTCTCTTTCAAAAGGGACCGTATGACACATTCAAATGCAGGCAATGATTTGTGTATCCATCTCTGGTAGCGTAGTGGTTAAGAATCAGGCTGCTAACCTCAAGGTCGGCAGTTCAAATCTACCAGCTATTCCGCAGCAGAAAGATGAGATTTTCTGCTCCTGTAAAGATTTGCAGCCTCGGAAACCCTGTGCAGGGTTACTATGAGTTGGAACTGACTCCACGGTACTTAAAAACAACAACTGGGTGTTCTTCCAAGACACAATCAGCATTTGGACAGCTCCTGAAAGTTCAACCGGATTTAAAAGCAAACTTGTTTATTTTTGCAAATCCCAGGGCAATTCACTGGGGAAGATAAGACACAGTCCATGTTTGTTATGTTCAAAACTAGACAAAGCACAAAATTCCAGCTGCAAAGGAAACACGAAGTACGGAAGGAGTGACAGTTTATTAAAAAATATAGGCTATACCGGGGAAAAAGTAATATTGGATTTTATGATTATTTCATACTGGGAATTGTTACATAGTTCCTAGCCTGTTTATTATATAACTACCGATTGCAATAATACATTTTGTAGCTTGTAAAGTTCTGAACAAGCAATTTTTACATAGCTACGTTTAGAAGGTTGGTTTGTAAAAAAAAAAAGGGGGGGGGAGTGGGTAAAATCTCAGGTTAAGAAGAGAAACCATAGGCCTTTGGGAGAATTAAAAAGGACAATATTTTCCCACATCATTTCCTTACAGTCTCACATAATCTGTTTTTAAGAGTGTCTTCACTGATACTCTCCCATATCAAATAGAGTTTGTGGTTAAACTGCTGAGTCATTTGTTGGGATTAATCCTTCCCGAAGTTTTTGTAAAGAAAATAGCCAAAAATTGTCAGCTCCAGTGGCTGTCTTGGGATTACAGAACTGTGAGGTGATTTTTTTATTATTATTACTTAGTTACAAAAGCTTGTAAGCATCTCCCATGGTGGACACAAGACAAATGATTCTGAATGAAAACCCACATGATTCCTCCTGGTCCTTGTGGATCTCACAGAGAAGGGCAGCAGCAAGCATTTGGCCAATGAGTCACAGACTTGCAGCTCAGACCATTCCTGCAACCTATGGGGCCACTGGAGTGCTGAAGAAGCAGCCACTCAACCACCATCCAGTTCCAAATACTGGCCAGAATGCATCCTCTCGGGTGGGATGGAGTAAGTGGTGCTGTAAACATGAAAAGATATTTTCATGAACAATCATGTTTAAGTACAAAACAGGTTAGCACCCTGAGCAGCTAATCCTCTCATTGGGAGCATCTCAGGTCCTTTAGTTGTTCAGACAGTGCAATGAGAGAAATAAGCGCCACATTAAATCTTCCAACACAGCCCCAGTCTTATCTCAGGGGTCCCGTTAGCTTCCTCACACAGCCCCATCCAACACAAGTGGCATTTCCTGCCTGCTAACAGTCCTATTCAATGCAAGTGGCATTTCATGGTTTAAATAAACTTCTCCCTCATCCTCAGAAGAGAGCACAATCCAGACGTGGTCAAATCAGACGCTATTTGGCCTTGAGTTTAATAAGAACTCAGTCCTGTTGGCTACAATGCCCATTTTAAGAAGCACGAAGTGGGGCTAGAAGATGACATACACTTTGCCTTTCAGGACTTCTGACAACCAAGCTCCTGCTCTGTCTGCTGACATTTCCTTAGAGAAGAACCCAGGATGCTCAGATGAGGACTGGAAGGGACAACCAAAGGCATCCCTTTGGAGCAAACTCCAGTAACAACACTGTATTTCAGGAAGAGGCACAAACTATCACAGACTCTCCTTTACCAGTGCCTCAGCCCTCTTTGAGCAGGGTGGGTGCCAAGCTCCAAATCCACTCCCCAGGGCTGTTAAATGGACCTAATTTGCTTCCAGTTTTGGAGAACTGAAACTCTCAAGGCTCCTCCTGACTCCAGCGTGTAGACTGTTGCTTACCCCGCAGCTGTGTGCCCTCTGGGGTGTGACCAGATGCAGCTGTCCCAGAAGACTAGGCCTAGGCTGGGGCAAGGAGCAGCCCCTAGCAAAATCAGGATGCAAGGCCAGCCTGACCATGTGTCTGCATTCCTGGCAAGACTTCAGGCCCACGTGTTCCAGAAGCTCCTTTTCTGATGAATGGCCAAAACTCCATTTCCTGCATCCTTTGGG